TGTTACACACTGGACCTTTATGTAATAGATGTGTGTGATATGTGTATTAGCAAAGTATGACTGGATTCTCTGATTCTATGGAAACTATATGTGCACAGATGAATTTTGATTGTTTCACTCAACTTGTAATTTATTCATTGAATAACCACCAAATTTCTCTCTACCTCTCTCTGTATGTATCTGTTTTTTTAGGATGGCATGGGAAATCTGCGGGTGACCAAAGAAGGTGTCAGATTGGAGGGAGTGTCCGAATTCCTATTGCCTTTATACGTCAAAGAGATCGAGTCTCGTAGGGTAAGCCCACATGTCTGCGTGAGTGTTAGTATGAGTGTTTGTGCCTTTATTGCTCAAAAAGAAAGTCATGCTGCATTATAGAATTAAAATCTATGCATTGTTTCACTATTCACTTTGATTCTGACGTTAATGTAGTCATGTGTGCATGTGTATGTATATGCCCTTATGTTCCAACCCCTATAATGAGCAGAATTCAGATGCTGTTCCCAGCAGTCGGGGTCTATTTGTCATGTGACATATTATAGGGCTGCATATGACCAGCACTCTTCCATATCTCCATTCATCACACACAGAATCATCATCGATCCCGTCAGCTGAGGCAACATGGACACTATGTCACTCTATATAGGACAATCCGTGTAACGCTGTGTGTATGTGAGCTTGAGCGTGTGTGTGTGTGCGCGTCTGAATAGTAAGCAGGGGGGTTGACTTTAATAGTGTCATGCTGCTATTAAGCAAGAGATTAATAGTGTGAAGGAGCAGGAAAGAAAGATATAGGACATTTGATAGACAGGACATGTATGAAATATTTAATACTCCATACAGCTGTCATGTTATTTTTCATTACTGTGAAGCTAAAAAATGTGTGATAAATCTGTATCATACTAAAACCCTGCATTGCTTTTAATGGTTGCAGTCCCTTATTAATGCTAATGCTTCTTCTTATGAGGCCTTCTGTCTGTTGGGATAGGTTACTTTACTACTTTAGCATCAGCTTCCTCTTCCACTTTCTGTTTGTGTCAAGCATGTAGATAAACCTGAAACCCCATTTACACTGATGTGTATGGTTTGTACAGCAGATAATATCAGTGAGAAACATTACCCCCAGTGTAGTCAGTTAGTTATGACACAGTATGGTAAATAGTTGTATTATACTGTCAGAAACACTGCATCTTATTTACTACATGATCATATATGTTGTAATATGTGGTACATGGCTACAGTATGAGAACTACAGAAAGCTACAGAAAACTAGAATAGTGACAAGAGAAAGAAAAAAGAGGAATTACAGCTTGAGTGAAGAATGTACTAACTAACTACTCTACATAAGACACGGTCCAGAGTGTAGGAGGGATAAAAATAAGATGGTGAATAAAAACAAAAGAGGCGAAAGAAAGGATAAAAGTAAGCTAACGGGGAATTAAGGATAAGAGTAGGGATGATGAAAAGTGAAGAATGACATGAGGAGATGGAATAAAGTGTGACAAGAGATGTTGTGGAATGAGTGAAGGAGAGGACGTATGTGGAGAAAAAAGTAATTAGGGAAGAGAAGAGAGGCAAGAGGAAGAGAAGAGGGTAGAAAGAGGAGATGAAAGGAGTATCAACAAATGCTTGTGTTGACACGTTTATGAGTGGATAGTTAAGTAGAAACTGCTTCTAACTCGGATCTCAAAATGTAACTTACATTAGATATTTATTCTTAACTGGGCAGTGAAGGGCAATGGAAAATACTGTATTTGCACTGACATTGTTGCAAATGTATGGCATGATAACCCTAAGAGCTATCAAGACCACTCGTGTAGAAAAGAAATATGATAGATGCTTTTCAAGTGCAGCATGAATCAGGTTTTCAGTACTTCAGCAACTGTTGCTACTTTCTTTTTTTTCAGATTGAAGATATATGAGTCAATTTCCTAGAACCAGCCTCACAAATCAGAAGTGAATAAGTGTAAGGAAAAGCAAATATTGTCTGTATGATTGAGGCTCCCAAACATGTCTAACACTGCCAAACATTGTAGATGTTGTGCATACAACAAGTTTTACCGATCAGCTCACTGTGCATTTGAATGTAATATTGTGATGATACAATTGCATTGCCAACCCAAAAGTCAAGTCAAGGCGATTTTATTCATACATCCCAAAATCACAAATCAATTTTCTCAAATCAAATCTGTACAAAAAGCAACACCCTCTATTCTCAACCAATAAAACTGAAATACATTAATTTAAAACTAAGGAGTCCTTTTTCTTATTTTCTTATTATTATTATTATTATTTTTTTTTAAAAACTGCTTTTTGTTTCTAACCTGTAGCACTTTGAGATC